TTTTAAAATCAATCAACATTATTATCAAAGTCAATTATTTGGTCAACTAGCGGTCAAACTAGCATAAATTATCCATTTGGGATTTAACTGCGGACATTTTGAAAGGTTTGGTATCGTGGGTGGTACAAATGAAATATTTGGACAAAGTCTGCTACTAAATGAAAGGTTTGGTACCACTGCTGCAATTATCCCTTTTTTTTAATAAGTTTTTTTTTTCAAACTTATTTTCAATCACACATTTAATCATTTTTAATCAAAATTTATTAAAAAACTGATTTTTAGTAAAACCAAATATGGGTTAAAATAAATTTGAAAAGAAGAGAGGATATACCACCCTAAGACTTGGATGCCAAGCAATTACTGTATGATAGCAACTATTGACCTATGTACGCATAAAAATCAACCGGTGCCAACGATATATTTATAAGAGTCACTGATAATAGAAGAAGCTTTGCATGACTAGAATTTTACGATATATGAGGTCTTCTCGTACATTGCTTCTCAAGAACAATTTGAAATCTGGTTTTCGAGTTGCAAGCTTGAAGTTGATAATTATGGTATTATGGCTTAGCTAGAAAGTTTTAACAATATCACGAACAACTACTTTAGCCATTGTTTGATATCCTTTATTTGCCAAAAATAAAGTTTTAAATATTGAATTTCTGGAGAATGTGTGATTAAAAGTGGAGAAAATTTTTGAATTTACGTGTGGAATATTTTATTACATGAATATATAGTTGAAAATGAGTATGTACAAAAATGAATTTTGAAATAAAGGATATTTAATGTAGTGAGTATGTATAAAAATAAATATATAGTTGAAAATGGGTATATACCTACAGGCAAATGGATTTGAGCAGGAAATATATGATCAAAAATTTTCAGTAAATGTAATAATAAATAGAATGAACTAATAGAATAACAACCAAAGAAAAACACCTGATTTCTATTTTGTCAACAAATTGAGATTTTTTTATTTTTTTTGCTCTTATTTTTTTCCCCCATTTTCTTCAGTTGCAATACAACCATAAGATGTGAATGCCTAGCAACTATCACATTGTAGCAACCATTGACTTGTTCATATGAATCCAAATCAATCAGTACCATCACTCTTTGTCTCAAGAGTTGTTGCTAACAAAAGAAAGTTTTGCACGATTAAAATGTGTCAACATATGTTGTCTTCTAGTAAATTGTTCCTTAACAATTCAGCATCAACTGCAAACGTTATACTCTCCATAGGACATGGACGTCGAATCAATAAGAATCACTTGCCTTTTCCATAGTAGGACGGTGACCACGGACTAATGCATTACAAAGTTAAAAGATCGAGAATTTCAATATTAAGAAATAAGCGTTGAGGATCAACTTGTTACAACACTTAATAGATTGAGGGCCCACTGCAATTTTATCTATAACCAATATCAGCTACAGTTATTAGAAAATACCTTAATAGTCAAATTATTATTGCGAATAATTAATATATGGGGTATTTTTACGAATGTCCACAATTAAGGGTGTGAGTTGAAAAGTGTCCAATTTTCAAATTTAATACTAAATTGTCTATTATGCTCTTAATGAAAAAAAGGACATTTGAAAATGTCATTCTCGACATTTGAATCCCGTTTAATATATCAATAGTACACACGTCAAATCACAATATAAAATGTTCTCGACAT